TCGGCCGACGAATCCAACTCCAACTAGGTCATTGATGCTTTGTTGGAAATTCGAATCCGATTAAAGAATCTACTGTATATCATGGTAAAATATAAGTAAAACCTTTAGTCCTGTATACAACTTTTGAACGTTGGAAAGGAATCTGCGAGTGTGAAAAAAAATGCCCCAGAGGGATTTGAATCCGGGACCTTCTGCTGTCTATGCAGACGTCTTAACATACTGGGAACTGGTGAGTTTAAATCCGATTAGAGGCAACCCAAGTTTCACTCTTGCACTTGGGTGGAACAACGCTAGTTTCCAATGCTTTGAAAACAACAGAAGTCAATCGCCCTCATCTTTAGCATTTTAATAAAAAAAAAAAAACGCGACCTCCAAAAAGATATTTTTTATAAATCAGTCATGGTTAAATCTAGAGATAAATTCTCTAACGTTCAAATTCTATATTATAATTATAGCATTACGGTTAAGAGTTTATCTCCACATTATTATGATTTATAATGTATTATATTTGTGTATACAGTAATTATATACCAGCCCTATGCAATTATTTTACTAATAGTATTTGAACAATCAATCCTCAATAATTTATTAAAGATAACTAAAAAAAGTGAAGTCATATCAACATACTAACATGTAGGAATTTAATGAAATCATGAAACGGACATCATTGAAAGATGGGCGTTCCTGCAATTCTGCAAATGTTTATTTACTTAACCCATTTCTCGGCCCATATACACTTACTTATGTCTCTTTCCGTCGATGAAATTGAAATCATGTTAATATTCGACATACAGACCAAGTCTGTCAGCCACATGGGCTTGGTCTTCTCTCGCGGCTGTTCGATCTGTAGGATAATAATAGTGGCGAGAAGTGAGCTTGGCCGAAATTCCACGCCATAATCATGTTACTGGGTTATGCAATGCAAAAAAGCAAACGAGGCAGCTGCTGCCTTCGTGGTTATCAAGTAGTACAAGCCAGACATGATTAGGCTCGGCGACATTTTATTATAGGATACTTTATTAATGAAACCGATGCCTGTAATGCATTAGCAAACATTAGTCATACCTTATATACAGAATGTATGAATAAAATTGTATATAATGCAGAACGCCCAGATTAAGTTAATGACAGATAACATAGCATAGCCCCGAATCGCCCAGCCGGAATGTTAAGGATTCAGGATTCGGCAATAGGCCAGCCAGAGTGACAGGCAGTTTAGCGTAACTTCTATGACTTGTAGTCTCACTTTATGTAACGGTTCATTTAAAAACCACAGAGTGTATGCTATAATTATTATTCTCTAATTAGAACATTTATCAGCTGACCACTATAATATTTTTAGAAATATAAATCGTTCTGAATTTACGATATACTTACGGTCTGCGTTGAGGAATCTTTGAATTTCTTTCTTTGTATTAGGTATTAATATATCTATATATTAAGTATATCAGATTCAGATTTAATTATTTATTTTCTAATTATTTTACTGTTTTCTGATTGTATATTATTTATTTGTTGAATCAGTTAGATATACTGAATAACTTTCTTTTTTTACATAATTAATAATTATTTGACTTTTTTAAATACTGCAAAATTATTATTATTATTTTTTTTTTTTAAGGGGGCTATTAGCCTAAAGATCTGTGCTCTGTGCAGCACACGATTTTATTATAGCCTCCTCCACATATACTGTACATTGTATGTTATTTCTGGAAAAAATAAAAGAAATCTAAATATGAATCTGAATCTATAAGTTAGCTTTCAATTTAAAATTACGCGAAATGTTTTCTTCCTAATTAATAGATGCATAAATAATATTGTTCCTATATTTTTGGCCTAAATTATTGGCTGGTAATCAATAGGATATTTTCGTTGTGAAACTCCTTAAATCAACCGAAAATAATTATTTTTTTAAGATAGGCCTATGTGTTTCAATTCAATGAAGGTTGATATTAGTTATTGTTAAGTATTTATATAGCCCATTTATAAAAAAAAATCGAAACGCTGTCCATTAAAACCCTTTTTTAAAGTCATCAATGTTTTAATTAATTGACTCTTTGTGAGTTGTCTATATTTTACCACACAAATTAAGACAGGGTGAAAATACCGCATCATTTGAAGAAATTTGGATGAATATTTAAGGCACCGGAAGTGTTCGAATAAAAATGTGCTTAAGTAACGTGTTGTTAAAAGAAGCAAACAACTTTTTAAAATTTCTGAAAGTATCAACATAATAAACTCTATCCAACATATTTAGCCTAATCAATTAGAAAGATATCATCGTCGTAAAATAATTAAAAAAAAATATTCTGAATCGAAAAATTTACGAGTAACGAAAGTTAACAAGGATCAACTTGTCATTTCAAATAAGCAAACAAATGATTAACAATATTCATTAATTGGATAAAGCGATTAAGCTTCTGTTATATGTTACAGTGTCAGTGAGTTTTTTTTTAAACCGTGGTCATCTAACGCACAGAGCAATTATTCAAATTTAAATTAGTTTATCATAAAAATAAAATTGTGTGCATTAACTTTAATGAATTTATGATCTATTATTTTATTGGTTACGCTTCATAATGAAATGTCGTTAATACACGTCTTATGCGTTTATCATGAATTTACAAGTTTAAAGTCGCAATATAGTTATGGTAAAACGGTATTTCAATACAATTAAATATATTTTAGTAACGCTATTAGTCGTTTAGTGACGCTATAGACATTTATATTGACGCAAATAGGCGTTTATTGACGTTATAGGCTAGAATCTAGATGGTTTAGTGTGAAAAGTATCGATGACAAACTATCCTTTAGAGGGCGGTACACAGAGGCAAACTTACAATAATGTGAACGTCATATTAACCACATAAAAACATACCGTTGCCGAGCGAATATGGTGCATTTCTGTTGTCCAGAAGTTGACGACACCCTCTTTGCTGACTGAGATGTAGCGTCCGCCGTGTTCTTCCTCTTTGATGGCGCCATGGCGGTGACTGATCGTCTGATAAAAGGCTACTTTCGTAATAGTGTCACGATGATTGCTGGGAATGTGACAATAAAATATCAATCAATCAACCTCAATCTTCATTAACATTATGAGATGTAATAAGTTATGTTCTATCCATGTTCAAATTAATTTCGAATTTAATAGTGAAATTGTACTGTGTGGATGAGCTTGTTTTAGCATCGTCTGCTCTACGTCACGTGTCATGTTTGATCGTTTGGTCTGCAGGCAGACGATGACTTTGCAGTTTCTATACATGTTCAAGACGGCCACTGTTTCTGAACAGGTGGCGCCTGTTGACACTTGTTTTCACGGTGTCCTTTTGAGTTTGTTGAAAAACATTTTCAAAAAAGTATAGCACCGCCTACGCAGAGGTCAGAAGGCTAATGGTTGTGGCATCTTACGGAAATGGAGACAATTCTGAAAAAAGGTTGCACATTCTTCGAACTTGGAAACCATAATTAATCGAATAAGGATCATATTACAATATAATAGACCAATCATTACCTTGCGATTTCTCTCAATGGTCTAGGGAATGGAATCTGTAGAAAACAATAATAAAATTAAGATTAACATCAGTAAATTGGTTTCACAACGAGCTCGTCCACCTGTCGAACTGCCTAACTCTCGAAAAATTGAGTTTTCTCGGCCAGAGCACGATTGGGAACGAAATCTGTAGTAAATTTGTTGCCGTATAGGACAAATTGAGGACGTTCCTAGGAAGACGATTTTAGAGAGACAAAATCGCTGCGACTACATTTTCTGGATTCTTACATCACAGTTGTTACTAAAATCATACATTTGACCAGTACCGTCAGCAACCAGAGAGAATCCAAGCGAACGAGTCGATTTACAATAACACACAACAGGACGTCTTCGGACTTTCGACATTTTAATTTTGGTAGGCCTACCATGTATAATTACTAACTGGGATGGTACCATCGACGGGCGAACGCTAACTTTTCTACACAGCATGCATCTCAACAGCTCCTGTCTCTTATACACATCTAGATGTGTATAAGAGACAGTCCCAGCGCTTATTCGAGAGCGGAGCTTGGTAAAAATCACGTTTGTGTGCACCTCTTATTCGAGAGCAAAACTTCTTTGAGAAAAACTCTTATTGAATCATTTGAAGGTTGTCTCTTAAGCTTCTCATTAATTAACTAATCCACATAAGTTTTGGTCTTCTATATAACTAATTCCAAACCGTTACTATCAATGCCGTAGCCAGGATTTTTTTAGACAGTGTGGGACAATATCAGGGTGGACCCACTTTATGCGTAAATTCAAATAATGTGGACCCATTTTTATCCCATTTTACGCAAAAACATGAATAATCTGGACCCATTTTCTTAATAAGTGACCCATTTTACGCAAAATATGAGAAATTTGGACCCATTTCTAAAATGTGGACCCACTCTTTGTGGACCTAATAGAAAAAATGTGTGGGACTGTCCCAACTGTCCCAATATCTGGCTACGGCATTTGTTACTATGGTATGTCACACACTTCCATTCATAAACTTACGGATTAAGAGGTGCTATAGGCCTAATTTGGTTGTAAATATTTATTAAGCCTCTCATGTAATTTTATTTTTATTATTATTTACTTAACCACACCGTATTATTAAGCGTGAATAGATATTCTACTTCTTTCCTTTTTTTTTCCTTTTTAATATATAGAGAACACCCCTGGTTTAAAAGTTATAATCCTTTAATAAATTAATAATTAATATACTGTTACACACTGATATGATGTTTACGGAAACGTTATCTTAAAAAAAAATAACTATTTTAAGCACCCCAACAAATCAGCGTTAACTTATAGGGACACAGATGAAGACACGACGTTTCGTTCAGTAGTTTAGGTTTAAAATGATGTTAAACGATATTAATAGTTATATATATACCGTACTATATAAGGTAATAATTTATTTGAATAAGGGGGAGGAGTTAAAAATACTGCGAGTACACACAAAAAAAGTTAGCCAATCACTATGACCATCACATACCCAGTCCCACAAAGAGTTGAATAACTTCAAACATTAAAGTTTCGGTATACAGTGACATGCTGTTTTTCTTAGCGCTGAAACTGCGGCAAATAATTAAATTAGTACGCTAACAAGCTAAGTTCAATGTTGTTGTACATTTTCACCGCCGCCTGGGTAATGTCCGTCACTGGCTTGACTTAGAAAAAATTAGGACTTTAGTCACTGCCTGCCAAGTCACGTGATCAAACTCGAAACATAGCGACTACATGATTATATTAGTCAGAGATTTATCGGTCATTTTTTTTCCCAGCGCAAAATAATCAGGTCAAAACATAATCATTTCAATCCAAGTTTGAGCTGAAATTAGTTCCTACCCTCTGTGTATCCCAACGGAAGCATAATGTAATGAAATTCACAATCATTGTAATCAAATCAAAATACTGTCCACCTGTGGTCTAATCTAATGCGCTCAAACCACAGTTATTTGCTGACTCACTTTGTAAAAACTTTAGCAAATCTCGACTAACTAGTTTCGAATTTATTAAAGCCCAGTTTTGTAATAACATCAAGAAGAATATACTTGGGTTAAGGAAATGCCATAAGGGGTACAAATGTCCGGTGGAAAGTGGACGCTTCATGCCATTGCATAGCGCAGGTGGACAGGTCGCTAAAACCACGCGTGTAGTATCGAAAGCCTGTACCAGCGTATGACTGACTTGGCCAACGCAAATACCGAAGCTAACTCAACCGCAGAAATAAAAAATTCTCGAATCTCGATAGAATAACTTGGAAGATAAATGTACCACCTCCATTATACAGGGATGGTACCATTGTACTTGGATAATACCTCCTCAGATACTGGGATGGCACTCTTTGCTATGGGATGGTACAACGTCCACTGTTAGGATAGCACCACTCCTCTCTACGGGATGGAACGGAACCACTCATTGATATGGATTCATACCTCGCCGCTATTGAGTAGTACCACCTTTCCTAACTGGGATGGTACCATCGACGGGCGAACGCTAACTTTTCTACACAGCATGCATCTCAACAGCTCTGCCCACTATGTGAAATTTGCAAATGCGCCTTTGCAAATTTATTTCGAGAACGTAACATCTTGGAAATACCGTATTTTTTACAAGACAAGTAAACAAAAATGGCCGGAGCTATCGAGATCCATGGTGGGTGATAAGGTTTAAGTTAACATTTGCGTCGTCAGTCTAATTAATCATCAATAATAATAATAATAATAATAATAATAATAATAATAACAATAATAATAATAATAATAATAATTATTATTATTATTAGGCCTATTATTATCATTATTATTATTATTAATATTATTAAAATAAAAAAAAACTTACATCTTTAAAAAGATTGCTCATCAAGTCGCGCTCTTGGTATTCAAATAGCATGTACGATAAATACTCATCCTAAGAAAATAAAAATACAAATAAAGTATTGATTACATTTACAGAGAGCCTCAACTACAGTAAAGAATACGGCAATATCAAAGACGGTTACGACATCGATGATTACGACAGTGACGACGACAATATCCACGGTGACGACATCAAGGACATTGCTAGCTAATCATATAACGTGCTATATAATAATAACATTTTTTTAATTTTGCGTGCAAAAGATGAAGTATTCAAATTAAATAACAGTAAAGCGAATACATTACAGTAGTATATTAAAAGAAACAAAAAACAAGGTGATCTTGAAAAGAATGTTCCCTATAATGGAAACAATCAAATAAGGTGGATAGACGAATGATTATCATTTGGAACAATAATTGCGTGTTTGGGTATTTACGAAATGTAATGATATTGCATAACACGGGTTTTGTTAGTGTAATAATTGATAGTAATAATAATGAAGATGATGACGAACAAATATAATTGTGGTTTTTTTTTCCCTCCCAAAACAAGGGTCTTAGGTTGAAATCCTATACTGAACTAAGATTTTTCCCACGACTAAAAAAAAAATTCTACCCTCTAAGCCTCATTAAGAAACGTTTTACTGTCTGTTGAATGTGCAAAGCATTATTATATAAAAGACATTTAAAATATTGTTGAAACAAAAATAAAGTGTTATATATAAAAACACTGTGGACCTACCCAGTCAACCGTGCCATCACAGTTTGCGTCAACTTTCATAAAGACGATTGCTAACTCGTGATCATCAACCTAGAAATAAAAACGTTCAACATCATTAGGACACGCGAATAATTTAACACATAGGCGTACTATAATATAAAAAAACAACAAAAAAACAAAAAAACAAACAAACAATCGTTCACAAATTATTAAAACATGTCAACGTTTGAAACAACACCTACGGCCGCGTGGCCTAATGGATAAGGCGTCCGACTTCGAATCGGAAGATTGTGGGTTCGAGCCCCATCGTGGTCGACTTTATTTTTCTAGGATTCTATGCTGTTTGTTTGTTGTGTCATGGATCCTTGTCCAATAATAATTATATCTAACAGTGGCGGAATTACAAAATGAACGTGAGGGGCCTACTCCTCCACTATTTTTGGTTTTAAAAATTCTTATTAAGTTTATCAGGAAACTACCTCGCTAAATTATTAAAATCAATCAAATACAACCTCATTAGAGGGATACAACCTCACAAGAGGTTTAACGCCCACCAGGGACTGTGTCAGAAGACTATCGCTCCGCTTGCACATTCACGCCCCCCTCCCTCCCCCTTTATTAAAAGGCTGGATCCGCTTCTCTCCAAGATTTGCATGCCTATAGGCCGTGGTACTGTTATGAACGGTGTGTCATATTGCTTGTGTTTTACCCATGGCCATTATACCCGTATTGACAAGCAAGCACAGCGGAGCGTGAATACTGGGTGGATGACTATAAGGTCCCCCTGTCCGTATCGTACGGGCAATAAACAGGGCAGACTCAGATACAATCAGCCAAAAATAGGTTGACACAAGCCTCATCCAATGATCCTAAATTTTAATGTGTTTTCTCAACTTAAATGCGTTGCGGATTATTTAATGGGGTTATCAACCTTATATAAGTGGTGTAGAAAATTAAGAAAATGACCAGCAACTTTGTCAGACCAGCACGGCGACGTCTAACGATCCAAATAGTAGACACGATGTCTGATTCACAATTTCAATAAAATATTGTAAAGTATCGGGAATTTTTAGTAGGCCGGAGAAAGCGGTAAAATAGTCCGTAAATTTAGTCACCCAAGTTTGCCTAAGTGATCAATACATGCATATAACATCGTTTACTAAAATTCATATAGGCCGAGGAGTAATGGTTTTATTGGCCATAAAACAGACGCATTATAGAAAAGCTGGACCAAGACGAATTAATAGACTTTATATATAAGACGCAATTTTGATTAATATTAAAAGGTCTATTTAAAATAAAAAATAAAAAAATCTACAATAATTCTCCTGCTTGGGATTACAGAAAAGGACAACACAGTATACGTCTCAGAAACGCGTCAGCGCGGCATTCGAACGCATTGCAATTCCACTAAATAATTGTTTCATATAAGGAGTGTTAATTGCATGTGGTGGATTCATGAATTCGAAATAGGGTGGGGAGAGGGAGGGTGGGGCTTATATAGATAGATGATTCATACTACCTCCCCCCTCATAGGAGGAAGAAAAGGATGATAATGAGGATGACGACGATGATGATGATGATGATGATGATGATGATGATGATGATGATGATGATGATGATGATGATGATGATGATGATGATGGTGATGGTGGTGGTGGTGGTGGTGGTGGTAGTGAAGATGACGATGATTGTAAGGGGATGGTATTGATGATGCTGCTGCTGATGATGATATTAATGATGATGACTATGGGGATGACGATGATGCGGATAATAAGATAATGAGTATTTAATGAGGATATCGATGATGATGATGATGAAGAAGAAAATGAAAAGAAAAAAGAAGATGATAGTGACAATGATAATGGTACTAGTTACAGGATTTTGATCAAAGGTAGGATTTGATACCATAAGCATTTTGCGAAAGTAGGACAAAGTACATGATAATCAAAAAATAATAATTAGACCAAAACCGCCGATTTTTGTTTTATGGCAAAGTAGTTTGAGAATGGAGTTACAGAACTGTTAATGGCCATGTCGATATGTCGTATACGTATAAATATTTATTTTCATATGATATTCGTATTTATAGGTATTTATAGGTCCTATGATACTGTAGACCTTTTCATTAAGTGGCCTATATCGCTATCATTGAAAAACTTGAATGCCATTATGTTTGTTTGTTTGGCTTTTTTTTTTAGTTGTAGATTTGAATTGTTTTTTATGAATATAAAAGCGTATCATATTTACTCCTGAAAGCAGGAATTCCTCAATAAATTTGATGCTAGGAAGAAACAGGAATATCGTAGGCAAGGCATTACCGTATTTATTGTCGGGTTCTTCTCTCGCGTGCAGATTCAGTTAACTGAAACCTATATGAAATGGCGTTTAATATAAATTATCCGGAACGGCTAATATTGTTAATAAAATACTTTAAAACAGAGTAGAGGGAAAAACTGCTATAAAGCTAGGCCTACGTACCATTCCTTCGCCCATTATTTTGCGCATTGCTTGCCGGAACTCATCGATGTCCAGGCCACCTCCCTGGTCTTCATCAGCTTCCTTAATAATAGAAAAAATAAAATACGTGTTAAACTGTGCTTCAAAAAAATCATTGTGGGTTTAATAGATTTGAAAGCAGAATGAAGATATCACGTAAACACAATATTAATTATTATAATACAAATAACAATTATTATAAATTGATAATAACGATGTAAACAATAATATTTTTAACTCTTTTAAGTGGTACTGATGGTTCATTAAAGCCTTCTGCTTTTAGAAGCAAAATGAAAATCTACAAAAAAAAATAAAAAATAAAAAAATAAATTAAAAAAAAAATCCCTCAAGGAGAAAAAAAAATCGACACGAATAGACACGAACAATTAGGCAACGCGGCCGTTGATGATGGCGGTTTCAAAAGCTAGCACAATTTAAGTCGGTATGCGTAATAATGCTAATTAAAAAACCGAAAGGTCCACTGATTAATTTCAGATAAGAAAGTATAATACATACTCCAAGTATTGAAATACACGCCATCGTGTTGGGATTCAATATTTCGACATTAACCAACACGATGGCGTGTATTTCAATACTTGGAGTATGTATTATACTTTCTAATGCTAATTAAAGTATAGTAATATAAACAATGACAATAATATTCCTAGACGTCATGTATCAAAATACTGTGTACTCTGTGTTTACGTTTAAAACTTCAAAGCAATTCAACAATGGCTGCGTGGCCTAATGGATAAGGCGTCCGACTTCGAATCGGAAGATTGTGGGTTCGAGTCCCATCGTGGTCGAGTACTTTTTACTTAATGGATTTTTATTTTTGTTGCTATTTAAATGTCATTTCTAGTGATATTAATCAAAGTGGAGTATGTTTTGTTTCTAATGTTTTTCAACTTCTTGAAGAATTGAATATTTTTATTTAAATGCTACTACAAGGTACGGTATTATGTAAAAGGGGAGGTCGCATGTTTGTATTATATCATCTTTAATATTAATAATTGGTAGCGGATTTGTCTGCCGTCGATAAAGGGGTTCAATAAGAAAAAAATGTGATAATGACAAAGAAAAGACAATAAAACAAACAATCAAAATTAGGTTTATAGACATCATTGAATGTAACCATGTGACCAAATGCTCCATGAGGTACATTTATAATAATATTGTGCAACGTATTAAAATCGACGTAACGTCTGTCTACGTTTCCACGTTCCGCACAATATTTTAAAGTTTTTGTTATTTTAAATGTTAATTAAAATATAGTAATATAAACAATGTCAATAATATTCCTAGACGTCTTGTATTAATATACTGTGTAGTCTCTGTTTACGTTTGAAACCTCGAAGCACTTCAACAACGGCCGCGTGGCCTAATGGATAAGGCGTCCGACTTCGAATCGGAAGATTGTGGGTTCGAGTCCCATCGTGGTCGAGTACTTTTTACTTAATGGATTTTTATTTTAATGTTTTTTTGCTATTTAAATATCATTTCTAATGATATTAATCAAAGTGGTGTATGTTTTGTTTCTAATGTTTTTCAACTTCTTGAAGAATTGAATATTTTTATTTAAATGCTACTACAAGGTACGGTATTATGTAAAAGAGGAGGTCCTATGTTTGTATTATATTATCTTCAATATTAATAATTGGTAGCGGATTTGTCTGCAGCCGATAAAGTTGTTCAATAAAACAAATATGACTAGCATTTTCTAATAGAAAGTAAAATTCTGCGAGTATGCAATTCATATAAATTTTCTGTATGGTATGATGAAGGAGTAGTCGCATGTCTCTATTTTCGTAAATATACTAATCAGCCCAACTTTCGGCCCCCCCTTCCGGCCCCCCCTTTTGGACATTTCTGGATCCGCCCCTGTATTGTGCAACGTATTAAAATCGACGTAACGTCTGTCTACGTTTCCACGTCCCGCACAATATTTTAAAGTTTTTGTTATTTTAAATGTTAATTAAAATGCTAATTAAAATATAGTAATATAAACAATGCCAATAATATTCCTAGACGTCTTGTATTAATAAACTGTGTAGTCTCTGTTTACGTTTGAAACTTCGAAGCACTTCAACAACGGCCGCGTGGCCTAATGGATAAGGCGTCCGACTTCGAATCGGAAGATTGTGGGTTCGAGTCCCATCGTGGTCGAGTACTTTTTACTTAATGGATTTTTATTTTAATTTTTTTTTTGCTATTTAAATATCATTTCTAATGATATTAATCAAAGTGGTGTATGTTTTGCTTCTAATGTTTTTCAACTTCTTGAAGAATTGAATATTTTTATTTAAATGCTACTACAAGGTACGGTATTATGTAAAAGAGAAGGTCCTATGTTTGTATTATATTATCTTCAATATTAATAATTGGTAGCGGATTTGTCTGCAGCCGATAAAGGGGTTCAATAAAAAAAATATGACTAGCATTTTCTAATAGAAAGTAAAATTCTGCGAGTATGCAATTCATGTAAATTTTCTGTATGATATGATGAAGGAGTAGTCGCATGTCTCTATTTTCGTAAATATACTACTAGTTAGCAGCGATCTACTGTCGAAAAAAATGACATTATTATAATAACAAAAATATGAAATAAAACAAATAAAAAACAATAACATTCCTATACGTTATTTAATGTTATGTCACTGTAATCAAAACGCTGTGTCAACAAGCTACTGTATTAATGATGTACCGTAACACAACTTATTTCAATCAACCGAAGTACTGTAACGTCCGTTTACGTATAAAGCTACTCTTCAGTCATGTGATCAACTATCTCAGCAACGGCCGCGTGGCCTAATGGATAAGGCGTCCGACTTCGAATCGGAAGATTGTGGGTTCGAGTCCCATCGTGGTCGACAATTTTTTTCCTTTAAAGGATCTTAATTTTTTAACTTAAATGTTAGTATTAATTATACTGTATTATATAACAGAAGATAATCAATGTTTTGTGTCATGTTCTTTTACCTCTTGTAAAAAAATGTAATATTTTGATTCAAATGTTACTAATAATAATAATAATAATAATAATAATAATAATAATAATAATAATAATAATAATAATAATAATAATAATAATAATAATGGGGAAAGTCTGTCTTATTGTTAATTTCTTAATATTATAATCTGTGGCGGATTTGTGTCTGCTGTAGATAACGTGTTTCAATAATAAGTATTATAAATTCAAATAAAATAGCCTAATACAAACTACAACAACAACAATAATAATAATAATAATAAATTTCCTAGACGTTAATTAATGTTGCACCGCCTGGTGAACATTTATAATGATACAGCGTACTGGTAAAGTATCAAAAACGACTGACGAACGTTCGAAACTCTGAGACTTACCTCGAAAATTTGTTGTAGTTTTCTTAGGTGTTCGTTGTTCATTTCATCTTCCAGTCTAGCCGATTTCCTACCCTGTTCCGCACTCTTACCACGCGTCGTACTCGACTCCTTGGAACCCTGTACATGACGAGAAGCAGAACCACGTGATAGTTTCTTACGTCCAGTATCAAGAGGTACCCCGAACTCTTTCTTTATGCTACCCCAGCTCATCTTCTGCTGATAGGCCTCTGGATGGGGAATACACGCCGCCGCCGAGGCCACGACTGTACTTGGCGTACCCCTCATTCCATGTAGTTAACAAAGAAGGTATTAACAACGAAAACATGCAAAATATCATATAACATACATAAAATTAGAGGCTTATGGAATGTCCCACGTCGTTGAGTGGATGTATTCTCTTGGTATTTACATCGTTAGCAACTATGACCAGCGGGAAACTCTAAAGAGATAATCCCCTACCATTGATTATTACAGCACAATAATTGTGAGTTAGCCGATAAAACAACAAAACAAGATTGTAGGCCTTTTGTCAGCCCTTTATATTCACCACTGAAGGGCTGAGAAAGGTCGATTTAAATAGTCCTTTATTGTCTTAGCCAAGAAACAAAGTAACGTTATAAAAAAAAACATAGGAGTGTCCTGTTAGGCTGCCTAACATAATTTGTATCGAAGGTCCGTTACTTTTTACTTGCCCAGTTGCCATATTTTCTTGGGACAGATAGACGGGAAGAATCGCTACCACAATTAGGGAAGCGTTTGAGAGTAAGCCTTCAACATGGGTTACCTTGATTTAACAATAATGTTGGGATGTTTCTAGGCATTTATTTAAGGATTTGCATTTTCAGGCCTTGGTTAAACGAGGGCTAATGTGGATCGATATTTACCCTTGAGTAGAGAAGATGCTTTCCCAAGGGTTCGATCCAGGAATTCAGAGAAAGTCAAGCCCTCGCAGTCCCAGGAAGCAGAAGCCCGCTACAGTAGAACCCCATAATTGAGGGGACACCTTCGGGACCAAAAAAGTGTCCCTTTAAGGGGTGTCCCCTGAATAGGTGTTTTTGGCATGTTTTCATACAACGATGACATATATTTTTTATAATTTTATTGACATAGAATCAGTTACAGTAGAATAAGAACTAATTTATAGCAATAATTTGCAACGCAAATACAATTCATTTATAATAAGAAGCATAAATGTAATTAAAACAATAGTTAAATATGTTCCCAATATTGTTTCATTATGCAATGTTGATGACCAAATATTCTTTATTAAATAGTCTTTTTTTAATATTGAGCTTTCTATTAAATGATCAAATCATTTTTTTCAAATAATTTGTTTTGTTTACAAAATCGCTTTAATTGGGTTAATTGTTCACTGCGCCTTTGATAGTGTTTTTGAATTGGTACGTTATTAATTTCTGCACATTATTATTTTTTTTAGGCCTATTATTATTAGGCCTATTATTATTATTATTATTATTATTATTATTATTATTATTATTATTATTATTATTATTATTATTATCATTATTATTATTATTATTATTATTATTATTATTATTATTATTATTTATATTGTTTGAAAGCTTGCAAGGCGAAGTTATAATATACGGTACTAATGCTTGCGGTACACCACATAGATGGTAAAAGAACTGTTGTTGGTTGAGACTATCTCCGCGTTTCGATTGAGTTGCTTCAATAGTCTTCAGGTCTCTTGATGACGATTGAAGCAACTCAATCGAAATGTGGAGATATTCTCAACCAACAACAACAGTTCTTCTCAGAACTATATACGTGGTGTAACCGCAAGCATTAATATATTATTATTATTATTATTTCATATTGTTTGAAATAGTAAATGTGATTAAATCACATTAGAGTTTTCTATTAGATGGATGTAGCATGATGAATAGAGTAATATGTTTTGATGTGGATTAGAATCCTATATGAAATACTGTACACAAACAACAAAGAAAGAGAAATCCCAATTGTTGAGGGTCAAAATTGACAAGATTGGTTTACGAAGTAACACGCTGTAGGCCTATACTGATATTCACTTATGCATTAAGAGGAGAAAATTCTGGTTTATTGCTCAAAAGGTGTCAAAATATACTAAGATTTTTTCTTATTTTCAGAGTGCTGTAGATGTTGTGATACAATGAAAAAAATTAAGTGTTCCCTTAATAGGGGTTATTTGACCATATGGCACACTCAGAAGTGTCCCCGTCCCCTTAATAGGGGTTGGCTGTGTGTTAAAAGATTGCCCCTCGTTTCACGGAAAATCAAAAACCTCAAAACGACCCTGGTGAATGTTTTCCCTTTTGCTTCACCTTCCATCATCAATAATTGTATTACCTCATCAAAGACCTGAACCATTTTTCGATGAGTGTACGGCCGAGTAGTGTAACTTCCAAAATATCCCTACTAAAACATGCCGCTTTGAGTGAAAACTTGTATTTGGGCCCTAATGAGCCAGGAATTCGTGCATGTCCCACAAATATGCACGTTTACGTCTTTAAGGTCTCACACCAGCCACATCATATCCAAATATCGAGGTTTAGAGGAAGGCCTACTGAACCAGGTACAAAATGAGTGAAGAAAATTCATTGAAAACTTACATGGCCAACAGGTTTTAGCCAACTGAGCCGCAGGCTGTGCTCTTATGGTTGTACCTTTACGCGTGACCATGGAGTTTACCTCCATGATGTGACTCAGTCTTCCGGATGCAGATGGGGTGCAGATGATGCGATCGCACCACCCCCCCCCCCACCTCTAAATTGTATTAAGAAAAATAATTGTTGTATTGTATTGTTGTAAAGTATGATAGTGCAATTTTCGGGCAGGCGCGATACCGTAGTGCAGGAGCAGGCGCGGATCCAGACCTTCGCACCGTTCTCCAATATAAAGTGATAGCAGTGCCTGGTGGTCTGGCGAATTCCAACTCTTTCTGTCAGAAATGCCACTTTTTGCATTGTCTAAGTATTAAACAAAGAGGGACTTTAATTAAAAACGGCTGCGCGATAACTTATACACTGTTGAGTTCTTTTATTATTTTTATGATTTATGTCACAACGTATGGTTAATCAAAAATCAATCACAGGGAGGATATACATTTGCGTTGATTCTTATAACCTTATTGAAAGGCATAGGCCTATATCATTTTATTATATTTTGTTATTCCCAAAATTACACTAAAGCGACAACCTATAATTTCAATTATTACTTTTTACTTAATGAATTATTATTTCATTATTTTAACGAATGCTATAAAAAAAAGGGGGGGGGGGAACCAAGTCTTTAATGGAGTTGGTAGCCTAATTGTAGATCTATAGAGCTTAAAACTTACGAACACACTTTGATACAGTACATCTAAAAAGGAAGTCAAAAATGACCACTGGGCACTGAGAAACACGGAATCTGTAGAAGACCAACGACATGAATGGTATGTAAATTTCAAATCAATCAGCGTTGGAAGTGGAAAAAGAATTTAAAAAACAATACTGAGAAATTGAGAAGATATCTAATAAGCGTATAATACTGTATTAATTGGCAGGTAAAATGTAAAGTTTCCATGCCCGTATATCCAGTAGGTGGAGTATTGCGAAAAGTGTGAATAACGCACCCAACCAAATTTGGTAAGGTCCACATTTTCAAGACAGTCGAGAATGTGCGGAATATAAATTTGTGATTTTCTGTCATTTGAAAATAAAATCTTAAATATTTACATTTTAACCAGATTTAACATAATCTACTCAGTCTGTCGTGATTCGGAAAAACTGAATATATCCATTTTTGTGAATTTGGCTAAAGGGCACCCTGTGGATGTAATGTATCATGAGATGTGATCATATACTCAAAACAGTTTTTCAAAATATGAAAATATTATGAGAGTTACGCATTATATCCGTCCACCCACCAAAGCATTACCTCCAATAAGCATTGAAATGTTGGCAATCAACCAATCACAGAAGACATTTATGTATATTTAATTACATTCCCAGATGGTGGCGGTACAATAAAATTGCATTATTATTTTTGCTGTAAGAAGAAGTTACAACTTAAAAGTTGTGGTCATAAGATGAATTTTTGAAACAATATTAACAAGATTATCAGGTTAGTCTTTCCACGTCAGCGCGTGCACTAAAAACGTTTTTTTTTTTTTTTTTTTTTTTGTGGAAATTGGATCTAACATGTGTATAATGATTTTGATAAACAATCATAATTCTCTGTATTATTAAACATTTTAAGAACGAACTTCCTTATGTTGTGGTCGTATTAAACTGATATTTTTCAAAGACCATTCAACAAACAACGTAAAACAAAATTCCCCATGTCGTTGGATGCATATAACGTATAACTTCCTAAAATTGGGATATAGAGCGAACTTCCTTATGATTTAAGCCTAAGGAAATATAAATGTATATAGGTCTGAACTTTGAAGGTGACAATGTGTTCTTCTTTATGTTGTGGTCATATTAGAATGTAATATCATTAAAGACCATTCAACAAACAACATGAAACATATATCAAACGTGCATGCATATTAACTTTAGATATGATATTTTCATGACAGAGAGAATGTACTGATCATATAAATTGTAGATGATTCTGTTGTCCGATTGTGTGCATTGAAAACGTGACAACGAACTCTGGACACCGGCCTCGGTTGACACTTCATATCAAAGGGCCTTTTAATTAATCTTGCACAGGAGCCTATCATCGCCTGCTATGATGACTCCTCCTCCTCCTTGTCATCATCATCATCATCATCATCTTCTTCTTCTTCATCATCGCAATTATTAATTGTCCATGGTAAAATGGGGGAAAATCTATGAATTCAGTGTGTATTCATTCATCAATAGACGTCTCGTAATGTACGTAAGTGCATTTCTCAGCATCTAAAGAACAAAACTTTCCGAGGGAGAACCCCAAGACTATTGCAAATCCCCTGCCCCACGTCCAAGGGTTTTCCAGCGACGGAACAACTCGGAGACCACCATAGGCAATAGTCATGTTAAGGCTCAGTTTCCATAAAATCGCTCACTCTATTGGCGACAGATGCCAACAGCTATCGTGATGGTTGAACCTGGTTTAATTTTGTCGATTGCATTGCAGACGAATCAGGGTGCATTGATAGCTGCCCGGCGCAATCGGGAAGGCAACCCGATTTGTCAGTGAACCTGGGTTCAACCTTCCCGACAACTGTCGGCGACTGTCGTCAATAGTGTGAGCGATTCTATGGAAACTGAGCTAAAATTCCGAATCCGCGCTGAGAGCTCCCTATTCTCAAAATGTTCTGCCCTCAGCCCCAGCCATGGTGGGGGCAGTGAGGTGGACCCTCACTCTACCGCCAAATCCTGCATCCACTCCAGCAGTCATGTAACATTCTAATGCCATGAGAACATTCCGATTTGCTTT